GCTTCATGGAAGAAGTTGGGAATCAACTAAGATGGAAGATATTATTTTGATATAAAATCAATTACAGTACGCATCATTTAATATATAGGACCTACATTCCTGTTGAAGTTTTGTAACCGGTTTCCAATTTCCAATCTAAAAAATTGAGGAATCGAACTTTAAGACTAATGGTTACACTCTAAACCTTAAGTGCTTGAGTGAGGTGGTTGAAATTTCGAGTTCTATCACCGTTGTGAACTCTACTAAAAAGTGGTTTGATGGCCACACGCCTCATTTGAGGGGGTGAAATATTCACTCGATCTGGGGATCGAATCTCCAGTTATTAACAATTAATTCATATTAACTTATTAATCATAATCTTTGTAAAAAAAAATCTAAAAAATTAAGTTTCGTGGATAAATAGAGGGTTAAAGCCAACTGTAGTCCTCGTACTTTGTGAAATTGTTCGTTACCGTCCCTCTACTAAGGAAATGTTCGATGTCGTCCCTCTACTTTCCTTAACAGTATAAATGTCATCCCTCTACTACACATTTTTTGTTCAATGTCATCCCTAATGGGATGCCATCCACACTTCCGTTAATTTGACCCGTTAATTACTAACGGTCAAATATCCAACTTATTGTTTATTAATTTTTTTAGACAAGTGGGACCATTTTTTCTTTCTTTGGGTTCTGTATTTTTGTTTCTTCTTTCTAGTTTACAGAGGATATGGCGCGGAAAAATAAAACAGAGGAATTGGCGCAAAAAGAATGCAGCCAAAATAGGTGGCAAAAAAAATTTTGTTCCCGCTTGGAGTTTATTGTCTTTAATGAGTATAGAATTTTTTTAAATATGATTAACTGAAATTGAGGGTGTAGGGTCAAGTAAACCAGAAGAAAAAGAAAGGGAAAGTGCTTGGAATGGTGGAAATCCCCAACCCTCAAACTGCCTTATCTATTCTTGATGTGAGTTTTAAATTTCAATTTTTATATCAATGTATTTTTTTTATAATGTTTGTATGTCTAATTTTTATAAATTAAAATGTCTAAACTTCTCTTTCCCAGCTTGGTTGTAAAAGCACAGAGACTTGCAATATACAAAATGCAATGAGGACTAACATAATGAGCATGGAAGAAAATATGGTCAACAAGCAACCACATCAACTGACACAAAGACAAAGTATAACATACCAACAATTGGATGTAGGTGACATTGAGACATTGATTTTCATATCGAGTTGTTATTTCATATATTTAATTAATGTATATTTGTGAAATTTTTTAGGTGGAGAGATGTGCGAGATTAAGGGCCATAAAACAGTCTAGGTTGGATCAAATGGAGACTGCAAATTGGGGATCCCTATTGCAAGCAATCAGTGAAAGGAGTGATGGAAATGCTTATGATTGAGGGGTGATGGGTGATGACTTCTTTTGTGCATACTGTGAAATGGTGCTCTACTTAGCTAATGATGTCTATTTTGGAGTTTTAGTAGTGTTAATGCTATCTATTTAATGGTTTATATTATGTGATTAATGGTTTATGATAGGGACAATTAGAGCATGTAAATTCCTATAGTGCTGCCCTGTTTTTGTTTTTGTTGCTCTATTTTTTTTTAAGTCATGTCCTGTATAAGCAAGCAATAGAACAAAGTTTACAGAGACCAATCTGCTGCACTTTTGTTTTTTTTGGTTAAGTTCTGTTTTTCTATTTTGTCCTATACAAGCAAATCTTGCATTTATATAGCTGAAAATGCTCAAAAGATAGACATAATTTGGCAATTAACATGACCAAAAAAGAGTCATATATTCCATTTCACATTTGCAGTACATAGGAG